CGGTATCGGTATCGGTATCGGTGAGTACCTAAATTACTCGTACTTGTACTCAGTCTTGAAAAAACTGGTATCGGGACACCCCTACAATTAATTAATAACCAGCTCCATCAGCTTTTGAGGATCAAGATGCAGTTAACGTCTGAAGGGGTTGACGTGTGTGACAGAACTTTACTGGTTTAGCTATTTTGCTGTTAGCTATGTTAAATACAGCTGTCTATGAGCAAGACTGGGTCTGCTACTTCCACAAATTAGCTCAACTTCAACAAGTAGGCTAAGCCACAGCAAAAACCAAAAAAAACAACTTAGAAAAAACAATCCCAGTCATTCTGTTCAATACACCGCTCCCTCACTTCTGACGTCCYTCAAGGTTTCCCACGTGACTTGGTGACTTGGTGACGTAGGTGCAAAGGGTCAACAGCTACCAGAGGCAGAAGGGCAAATTAAGTGTTTCTGCTCACAAGCAGGCTACTTGCTGACTTTAAAAAGCTTTGTGATAAAGATAATTTTTGCAAGGCCTTTCTATTAAAAGTAACATATTGTTTCTTTATGTACATATGTGTAAAAGTGTGATTCTTTTCTTATGTTATAACTTTTTCTTTTGTCATCTTTAATGTTGTTAATATTGTAGAATTAATAAACGTTTGCAGACAACATTCTCTCAACGTTTGCGTTTCGTTTCGACGTTCAACAAACGTCRTCTGAACCTCTGCAGACAACATCCTCTGACCGTTTAATGGAGTTTCATTTTGACGTTCAGTGAACGTTGTCTGCAAACGTCCAGAGGATGTTCATGGTGACGTTCAGAGGATGTTGTGTGAACGTTAAACGCTTGCTGAGAATGAGCCTCTGGCCGATCTGTTTTCTTCAGAATCAGTTTTATTGCCATTATCAATGAACAGGATTCACAGACTGGGAATTTGCTTCGGTGTAAAGGTGCAATAGGTATAAAATATAACAAAGAAAATACAAAGGATAAAGGAAAAAATATAATAAAATATATAAAAGACGCACACCAGTTCAATACAGAAATCAGAGCAGACAATATAGTTACAATTTTCTTCTTAGATAGTTTACATTTCTTAGACAGTTTCTACATCAGAGCTTTTGCATTTTGTTAGAGGAAGAAAGTAATTTGGGACTTCCTTTTGTAAGGCTGCTGAGGAAGGGCGTAACTTTCTGAAGGACTGGTGCGGACATGTCCCCACCAACTTTGGCCGGACAGGGACAGTCCCCACCGATGTTCACACATCTTTTTTTCCTTTGCGTGCATCTACATTTCCCAACAGTAGGCAGCAGCAACTGCTGTGTCTAACTTTTTCCACGCGTGCTGGGGGGTGGGTGCACTGCGCTTCTGCTTCTCATCTTTTTTTTTATGGCCTCCCTTCTCCCCTTATAGCCATGTCCTCCACTCCATTATTATGATTTTTTAATAGAAGAAAAAGGAGAAAGAAAAAAGGGAAATGTAAAGAGAACGAGTGAAAA